ACACACACACACACACACACATATCACTTCCATTTGACACTAAATTGCTGTTGTGCGTGTCCTACTTTATGATGTGGTGAGTCTGATAACACCCAGCTCACGATGGGCAGCTCAGGTCACATGGTAACTTGGTGGCCCATTGTCAAACGTTCAGTTCCCACTAAGGCCCAATGGCAGGCCAAGAGCTGTCTCTCAGATGGAGAATAGTTGGCCACAGATGGTGGCAGACCCAAAGGTCTCTTCTCTAATTTACCTATCAGGGCCCGGGCCCCCCAGAGGCTCCAGATAGCATCCCTGTCTGCCAGTGACACCTCAAGTCCCATCGTTTCTGCTGGGTCACGTGATACAAGAGGTAGAGCAGCCTACACCTGTTGAAGAGACCCCCCTACCCCACCCCATTCTGGGCCCCACACTGTTGAGTCCGACTCACTTGGAATACGGGCAGGGATGACACACACAAGCAGCCAAGGTGCTGTCTCCACCAGACGCTGTGCTTCACCTTAGCAGGGAAATCTCTGCATGCCCCACAGCACCCAACTCACTCCTAAGAAAGAATTTCACTGAGTTAGGGGGTCCAGAACCCAAAGAGATCCCTGAAGCAAAACCGTAAAGCTATACTGCTGGCCTTGCCAGCGCTGGTGGTCCTTATGGGCAGGTACCAAGAGGGGGGGGGAAAGGCATATTTTAAATCAGTAGCTGCATATCATGCACCAGGAGACTCGTGAACCAACCTGCTCAAGTGAAGACACCACCACGTTTGGTACAGAGTTTTTGATTGAGTTTTTGGTGGTCAACTGTCGTTCTCTACGATCCATCTGCCTTCCCCACTGGCCAGATAAACGAGTTAAAGAGAGATGTGGGGGGAGCCACCACCCCGGTCTCTTCCAAGTCCTTGATGGTGGCACTGATTTCTGCCATTCCTCCAGGGAGTTGATATTGGTTTCCATGCTCTGTTTTCTTTGGCAGAGGTAACTCTGGCTTCCATTTAGGCTCTCCAACCATAGTGGCCCTCACTCCACAGGTCTGGGAACCAGCGTGAGAACTCTGCCAAAACTCTATTAATCCCCCCCCCCTCCACAAGCCCCTGCTTTAACTGGAGGGCAACAATGTTTCTGGGGGTTTCCCAGAATCAGTGTCAACTCAGAACCAACATCCAACAGAAAGTCCAACTGTTGCCTTTCCCCCAGTGCATGGTACCCTTGTAAAAGGCTGTGGTCCCTCTGGGGAAGGCTGGAGAGAGACTAACTGTAAAACCTGTAGATGTCTTACCAGGGTCCTTCCTCATGACCACCTACCTGGTTGACCCTTCATTCATGTGGTTCTGAGCCTACAAACCGGCTCAAGTCTAGAAATTGGTTCACGAGTCAAGATTCCCTCTTGCCACGATCCAATGCAGCCTTTCTTTCACTTGAGGGTTTCTCTGCTTATACAGATCAAGCAGAAATGCAGTAGTCTTCTCGTGTGTTAGAGGCCTGGAAACACCATGATGCATTAGCCAGTCCCAAAGGTCTGTATGAGCCACGCAACTATAAAGTTCACCTTGCCTGTGCTGACCATCCAGGCCGTTATGAACACGGGTTTGTCTGTGCTTCCCATCACGATAACTGTGGCCACCTTGCCTTTGGAGAGCCAGTGCTGCTACCTGGCCCCTGCTAGCTCAGGGCCCAATTAAACCCATTGCATTTAATTTGTCCAATAGAGCAGCAGCATCTCTAACCCTAAGGTCTAGGGATGACAGCAACACCCTTCAAATGCGCTGGTGCCCCTCTCGACATATGCATCTTGTAGGAGTCAGGAGGGGGGTGTGTTCTAGGTTTTACACAGTATACCCACTCTAGCAGTTTGCCTGAGCCTCAAAATCCCTTCATCAGCACTAAGCCAAGAGATGCCAGGCATCTCCGACTCCTTTTCAATAGGCCGTCTTTTGATAAACACTTCAGCCAACAATTCAAACAAACTTTTGAGGCTTCCATTTTAAACCCAGACTCTTCATCCAGAGGGTCCATATCAATAAACTCAGCCTGATCTAGCTTTATGTTTCCTCCACCATTATCCCACACCCTGAAAACCCATTCCCATCCACATTCCCCAGACCTCAGCTAGAATGAGTTAGCAACTCATTAAGCTCTTTATAATAGTGTAGCACACTTCCTCGTGGACTACACTTCCTACCTCCTCTCTAGGATCCTTCTTAACCTTAAGTCTGGTTATAGTTCTAGAGGCATCTATTGAGGGATATCAGTATTGTTTTACCCAGCTGTCATTTCCTTCAGAAAAGGCAGTGCTGGTTTAGCATTCACTTGAAGGATTTATTTCTTCGGTGAAAGGTGAAAAGGGCAGTATTTTAAGGGGTGGGGCTGAAGATACTACTTCCTCAGATGAGATAAAGCCTCGAGAATCTGAAGGTTCAAAGTTCTTAGCTTCAATAGGGTCATCCCACACATCCTCATCCCGAGTTACAGGACACCATCCTTTACCAACTAGTGCCCTTACTTTAACCCCTGACACCGTCTGAGACTGAGACTTGAATTTTTGTTGTAATCCAGACAACCTTATGATGAGGGCTTCGGTTTGATTTTCTGCAGCCCCAGCTCTGTGACTGCCGGAGAGAAGAGTTTCCTCCAGGGCGCACTTAGAATGTCAGTTTATCACTGAGTTCACTGTATTCTGAAGTTGGTTAATTTCACCATAGATCTCATTCCTATCGTTTAACAGTTTATCCAGAGATATCTAGAGCAACCAACCAGCATCCTTATTTCCCCCCAAATTGTCAGGACTTTCACTGAATCCATTGCCACTCGCCGGTGACGAATCACGATAACCAAAGGCATTTATCTCGCTAAGTCCGGAATGTAGTTTACACAGTGGGCTTTCAGTGCTTTCCAAGCTTCCAGGAGATAGACTGATGGACGAGAGTTCAATAGCTGAAGGTGCTGGCGATTTCAAAATCCTATTCTAGATACTTAAAAAATTCACCCTTATACTTCTGTTTCTCTAGATGCACTCTGGTACCAAAATATGTATTAGTCAGGGCTCTCTAGAGTCAAAGCACTTATAGAATGAATCTCTACATAGATGATAGAGAGATTGATAGGTAGGTAGGTAGATATGTGGATAGATAGATGATTGATTGATAGATATAGATAGATATGTAGATAGGTAGACGTGTAGATAGATAGATGATTGATTGATAGATGATAGGTAGGTAGATAGATAGGTAGGTAGATGATAGATGATAGATAGATGATTGATAGGTAGGTAGGTAGATGATTGATTGATAGATAGATGATAGGTAGATATGTAGATAGATAGATGATTGATTGATAGATGATAGGTAGGTAGGTAGATAGATGATAGATAGACAGATGATAGATAGATAGGTAGATAGATGATTGATAGGTAGGTAGGTAGATGATTAATTGATAGATAGATGATAGGTAGATATGTAGATAGATAGATGATTGATTGATAGATAGATGATAGGTAGGTAGATAGATGATAGATAGACAGATGATAGATAGGTAGATAGATAGATAGATAGATAGATAGATAGATAGATAGATGTTAGATAGATAAATGGGTAGGTAGATAGATGGGAATTTATTTGAATGACTTACAGGCTGTAGCCCAACAATGGCTAGTTGTGAATATAGAGTCCAGGAAGAATCTAGTAGTTGCTCAGTCCCACAAGGCTGGGTGTCTCAGCTGGTCTTCTGGATATGCTGGAATCCTAAAGAAGCTGTGGCCCAGATTGAAGGTGTGCCTTCCCCTCTCAAGGTCTGGATTAAAGGGGCGTGTCACCCTGCTTGAGGATAAGGATCAAAAGCATGTTCTTCCTGCCTCAAGATCCGTATCACAAGTGTGCCCTCTGTTTCTGGATCATAGTCCACTCCAGATATGGTGAAGCTGAAAACCAGGAGTAATCACCACAAAACTGAGTGTCTAAATCATGAGCTAAGCATAGTAGCATTTATATAATCCCAGTACTCAGCAGGCTGAGGCAGGAGGATTGCAAGTTCCAGGCCAGTCTGGGCTACATCTAACAAGACCGTGTCTCAATAAAACAACAACAAACCAATAAATCTTAAAGTATACTTTCTTGGTATCAGCAAAAAAAAAAAAAAAAAGTTAATAAATTGTTTTGTCTGGTGTGAGTAATTTCGTCCTAATAATTTCACCCTAATTAGTCAAAGTTTTTTAAAATATATTTAAAAGAATATACATGGTGATTTTTACCTAAAAAGCCATAATGAGAAGAAATCCTGGGGTTTCCCCTTCCATATAAATGACTTTTGTAAATAGCTTTACAAAAAAGACTTGTTTGTAGAAAGAAAAGTATTTTCCAAAGTATTAATTGCTAACTAATTATTAATGAGTAACTAAACATCTAGAAAGAAATGCATACTTGAGCAAATTCGTGGTTTGAGATTGTCCTTCTCTGGTAACTGTTATGTGACTAAGTCAAGTGTCTTTATCTGCAAGTGAGGGTGTGTGTGTGTGTGTGTGTGAGAGAGAGAGAGAGAGAGAGAGAGAGAGAGAGAGAGAGAGAGAGAACTTCCCCAGGATCATCCTCCTGACTGACTTGGGGTTAGTTGGCCAGTGAGCTCAGAGACCCACCTGCTGGAGCAGAAGGCCTGGCTGGGTGCCTGGGACTGAATCCCGATCCCCACGCTTGCCCAGGAAGCATTTGACTGACAAAGCCATCTCCCAGCCCCTGGATTTCTTTTAAAATGGAGACACTGCTCCTTCAACACTGTATCTGTATGAGGTGTGTGAAATGATCAGACATTTGCTAACTTCTGATTCATTAAGTTGGTGTGGAATAAATCAATTTCGTGTGAGGCTGCCCTCTCGAAGCAATAGTGCTTAGTGTACCGGAGCGGCACTGGGCGCTCTGCCACCCGGCAGGACTTGTTAACACTGCTGACACTAGACAGACAGTGCCATCAGAGGCTTTGTCACTACTGACCATCTCAATCGCCGTTGATGCTTTCTTGTAGATTTCCGGCGTGTGCTATGACCGCAAAGTGTTCCGGGTTCACCAGGCGCTTCGTGTCCCTGGCAGGGTGGCCCGGTTCTTCTCCTGGACCCTTGAGCCTATCTTCTCATCTTCAGAGCCCACCAGCGAGGCCAGAGTTGGCATGGGGGCCACAGTGGACATCCAGAGGCAGCAGAGGACGGAGCAGCTGGACCGGCAGCTGATGCTCTCTCAGTTCGCCCAAGTGAGGCGGCAGAGGCAGCAGCAGGTATGGCGCGGCTGGCCAGCGGCAGCAGGTATGGCGCGGGTGGTGTGGCAGCCTCTGCTTCACCCCTGTGCCTTGTAGGGACGGACGGGCTGAGCGGAGCGTTTGATGTGTCTGCAGGAGATTGAGAATTTAGCCCTCTCAGGGTGGCTTCTGTTAGTGTGGGGGGTTTGTGTTGTCTTCTTTTTAAGGTAACAAAACAAATTAGAGCTGAACAGTTGTTCAGAGTGGACATTCTTATTCTTAGCCTATTTCCAAGAGAAACACCAACCTAGTTACGAGGTAGGATATTTATCAGGGTTTGTAATCTTGTCAAAGCCACAGCGTCTTCCTGTTTAAAGTGCTAGTCACGTGCCATGGATGAGGAACAAACGAAGAGCTTTACGATCTTCCTTAAAGTGAATGCAGAGATAAGAAAACTTGAAGGGATCAACCAATGATTGCATCCTATAAATGCCATGTTTTCGTAGATGTGCCATTAGCAACCAGGAGCCATTGCACAGTTAACTACAAATAACCACATCAGCCAAAAACTCTGACCCAACACTTGTCTTTTCTGGGCGGGGGTGGGGGGTGGGGGGTGGGGGTAGGGGGGCAAGGAAAGGGGAGGTTGCTCTGTACCTAGCTAAAACTTCCGAAATGATCTTCCTTGGACACCTCTATGACCCAGCACACTGGGTCCATCACTTACTGCCTCCTCCTTCAGCTTGTGGGGTGGTGAGGGATGGAGGATTCTCTCCTGCCTTCTTCACCAGGTGTTAAAGAGGCCGAGTCAGAGAATGGAAGTCCAGTCTGACATCGTTGCACTGACATTGGTAATGTGGGTTCCAGAGTTTTTATTTTTGGACGGGAGTATGTGATAGAAGAGAGAGAGAGAAGCCGATGTTGTCCCTTACAGACGTGTTTGACTTTGAAGTGACTTTGGGGCATATGATACAGATATATGACATGTCCAAGGACGGCTGGCACATGATTTCATAGCAGACTCAGAGACAGGGCTGGGAACCACCGATGGACTCAGCTCTGTGGCCCTGAGAGCAAAGAACTAGCAGCTACATGAGAAGGAATCCATCTGCGGTCAGCACAGGCTGAAGTGAAGCCTTGTGATTGACAGGAGGCGTAGACCCACAAGACCCTTGGGGAAGAGAGAAAAGAGGATGGGGTGTGGCGGGATGGGATTGATGGCGGTAGAAGACGCAGCAGGGCCTCTCTGCTCAGATTCTTCTTGGCCTCTTTGTAGCTTACTCCCCTCCTGGGTACAGGATAGGACCCTCTGAGATAACTTTCTGTGGAGAAAATTTGTAGGTTCTGATGTGTACTTTGGGTGAGTGGGTTTTTTGTGTCTGTGAACTGCCTTGGGGAAAAGAAATCCTAGCTTCCAGGACTTTCTCCAGGACAGGATGGTAGGAAAAAAAGGCTAGGGAGATCTTCAGCTCAAAGAACCCAACAAGTCAAGCTTCCAGACTTACGGTATCCTGTTCTGAGCCCTAACCCTCCTTTCATAAGGAACCTGTTCCTTTTGGATTAGGGCCCACCTGACCTTAATTGGCCAGTAAAGACCCAGTGTTAGTCATGCTGAGGCAGTGGCTCTTCAACAAGCAGAGCCGTGGCTCCAGACAGTCGATGCCCAGTGTTGGCACTAAATGGTCATTTTTTTTTTCTTGAGGGTGGTGTATCAAGCTCATTGCTGACTGCTGATGGCAGATTAGATATTCTGTGATGGCAGTAGCTAGATCATCCTGGGTACGTGAGGCCCATGTTTAACCTCTATCCTGTCACCTTGGCTACTCTTCCTGTGCCGGTACTGAGGTAGGCAATAATAAGGTTGCTGTCATTCTGTCTGCCCCCTGCTTGGTGCCTTTTTTGTGATGTTTGTGATGGATGTCTGTGGTAGGAATTAATCTAGGAAAAAAAACAAAACAAAACAAAACAAAAACAGAGCCAACACACTTCCCCGAGTGACCCTTTAGCTGAGTTCATTTGCCTACCTCAGGTCCCCTTGGCCCTCACCTTCCAGTCTCTCCTGGCTGACCAGCCAAGCCTTTTGCTATCCCAAGTTACATCCACCGGCTGAATTTATTGCCAACTCTCCTGCACCAAAACCTCTCCCTAGCTCACGCCTGCCACAGGTAAGAGAGGAAGATAGCCAAATATGGTTCATAGATTCTCTGGCACTGTGCAGGGAGGGTCCCCGAAAGACAGACGGCAACTCCTTCTGCGGAAGGAGCTGGCTAATGCCCTCCGTCACCCACTTAGCATAAAGAGGAAGGCCCCAGGCACCAGTTCAGTCTGTGGAGTTAATCCCCTCACTCAGGGCTGCTTCCCAGGCCACTCAGCAGGTGGCCACTGAGCCCTCGCCCCCAGGCTGTTCTGTTGAAGGTCTTGGACCCCCCCTTCTATCTAGAGGATGGCTGCTCTTGTGCCCCCCCCGACACTCCCCAGGGAGCCGTTTCCGCTACCCTTGCTTCTCCTCCATCCATCCTCAACCTGAAGTTTCAACACACACTTCCCGCTTCTCCTGAGCCTCCTGTCTGTAGGGATCCAGCCCTTCATCCTTTCCACACACCCACACCCACACTTTGTCTCTGCTCCAGCCACCTGTCAGTGTCTCCTTTACCTAAGTCGGTTGCTAGTACCCCAGCATCTCCGCCGCCGCCTGCCCGTCAGCTGCCCGTATCAGTTAAGCCTTTTCAGTCTCCCGCTGGGGTCCTGAGTTTCTCTGCCTAAAACTTAGCCCGGCCCTCACTAGGGACTGGCTTACCTATCCCTGCCAGTGTGACACAGGGTACAGAGAGGAGGTTATCTGCTCCTCCGGGACAGGGACTACTAGGAACTTAGCTTGGGGAACTAATGAGTAAATATGCGTATCGTAACTATCCACGGGTTACTTGTAATTCTGATGCCAAATGGAGTCAGCCCAGCAGTCAGAGTTGGGGGGAAAAAAGGCACACAGATGTCCTGCAAAGACAAGCTGAAAATAAGGGTCATGACAGACAGGCCAGGCCCTCGTTTAGGCTGACCCAGAAAAGAAACTGGAGTGGCCAGGAAGAAAGCAGGAAGTTCAGGAACGGGGTAGCCAAGAGAGGAACTGTTGCAGGATTGCAGGTGTCTCCTCTGGCAGGATGCTGGGAAGTATTACTCGAGCCAGCCGGTCGCCACACCTACCGTGGCTGACCTCGTGCTCCTGTGATTGAGCGATTGAGCTTTGCCCAGCAGCGGCGAGGGCGTGGCTCTTGCAGACCCTGCAGTCTGGAGAACAGGGCCCCGTGCCATGTCTCTGTGGGATTCTCCTCACCTGGAGTCGGGGCCCACTGTGCATGTGGACAGAGACAGCTCGCAGGGAACCTCACTTGGGTCCACGGAGCCCAGGCGTGTGGTAACGCTGCAGGCGGCCTTTCCGGTCCCTTCTTCAAGCAGTTATGACACTTCTCGCATGGGCTAGTGGAGTTGAGAACTGGCCGCCCTGCTTCACGCCTGATGTCTATGACGTCTTTCATCTGTAAATTCATTCGGCCGCCAGGCTCTCCCTGCTCTCCCTGCTCTCCCTGCCCCTTGCATTGTGCCTGAGTCTCTGTGTCCACACAGTTGCCTACCCCAGGAACTCACGGTTGCTTTTCTATCGTGTCTGTCTTGCTGCAGCCAGGGCCAGTGTTTAACTTTTCATAGACTCGCTCTTTTTTTTTTTTTTAAATGGGGGGTTTTGCTTGTTTTTGTTTCTGTATTTTTTGAGACAGGGTCTCCCTTTGTGACTCCGGCTGCTATCCTGGAGCTCACTACATAGAGCATGCTGCTGGCCACAGACTCATAGCTCCAACTCTCCGCCGCTTAGATTAAAGCCTTGCACCACCGCCACGACAGCCGTGGGCTCATGTGGTTATAGTTAGTCCCCACTAAGACATGAGCTTTTGAACCATGAGCTTTACTCATCTGTGCCGTTTTGGACTCTAGTGCAACGCACTGCCCTGTGAGTGTGCAAGAAACTGCCTGGCTGTACTCCGGAAGTTTGCAGCTGCTGAAGATGAAGCAGCGTGAGGGGCCAGGGTCCTGATAGACCAGAGCAGCCCTGAGGCACGGCTGCCCTGCACAGGCTGGCTGGTGCGCTTGAAGGAATCTTGAAAGAAGTCATCGGCAGGGGTGGAGGGCCCCAGGAGGGAAAGACTAGGGAGAATGTTGTGAGGAGGTGACGGTTGACATACGGTGTGGCCACCCACACCTGTAATCCCAGCAACCAGAGGCAGACATAGGGCCATCACAAGTTAGAGGCTACCCTGGACTGTGAGCTGACAAACTGTTTAAACTGGGGGGGGGGGGCAGCAGAGGGGGCTGGTAAAACAACAGAACTCATACTGGGCTCGGTGCCCATTGTGTATTAGTGGGATGACCACTGAGTGGCCTCGGTGTCTACGGTGCATTAGGGAGATGACCACTGTGTCGCTTCCTCAGACCTGAGCACATGAGGTTCCTGAAGGACAGGGCCCTCACCCTCCCGTGTGCTGTGCTGTGCTGTGTGCATCTCTTTGTTCATCTGTGTCCTCCATAACGAGTGGGTAGATGTCAGTGTTTCTCCCTCAGAGTTCCCTGAGGCAGCTCAGCAAATTCATCAACCCAGGGGAGGGTGTTGTGGAGCCGGATCGCTCGGCAGCCAGTTAGAAATACAGGTACAAGGCAGGCTTTGGTGTGGCTGATTTGTTGTTGTGTTCAGTTCGGTGAACCACGGTAGAATTAAGTTTTGAGGCTGCAGGTGGTATCTCCCGGAGAAGACTTCGGGTGTGAGGAAGCGCCTCCCCCACCCCAGTGCATCTGGCATGAGCAGTGTTGTGTTGGCCGGTGTGTGAATATGTAAAGGCAGAACTGGTTTGAAGCTTTCTTGGTAACGCATGTGCTCACAGTATGAAGCATAATTGTAGAATGGAAAAGGAGGATCAGCATTTAGGGGGACAGCTCTGGGTAGACAGGGTGCTGTGCACACAGTCTCATGGTTGTCCTAGGGATCAAGGACAGCC